TGTGTGTGTGTGTGTGTGTGTGTGTGTGTGTGTGTGTGTGTGTGTGTGTGTGCCTATGGTTGTTTGCAGCCTGGTGGGGACCATTTTCCCAGTAAACACAGGTGCGGGTGAGGACCCACTCTTCCTAATGTGGGAAAAGCCCGGTCCCCGTTGGGGAAAATACTATTGGTGGGTCAGGGTTAGGCTGTGGAAATGACCGGTAAATGAGTGGAAGTCAATGCAAAGTCCCCACAAGAATAGAAGAACAAACTCTTGATTGTGTGTGCGACACCYCTCTGCTCTGTCACAGAGAAGAAGGGAGGGAGGACTCTCTCCCTTCTTCATACACAGAGCTGGCCCAGCAGGATTCGTCCCGATTGTCCCGATTACCCACTCCACCCTTGGACACAAGAACTCATTTTCAAGGGACAAACAGTCAAACAATATTACAGGCAAACACTTTTGAGTCAATTTAAATTAGGATTTATAAAAATTAAACATATGACCTGCCACATCAGGATTAAATTGCTAGTAGTGAAGTGACATGTCCAGGAGAGAAACCCAAACATCCTTCTCAGTGACACTTTCCAGCTTAAGGCCCTGAGGTGTTTGTAGACCAGAGAGGATACATAATCCACCCTGTGAGTCCTGCATCTTCCCCGAGGCCTCCGACCAGTGGGATGCACCCTGAACATATTTAAAGAGAGGCATCCTAATCAGATGACCCACCTCAGCTGACTCCTTTCAATGGGAAGGAGCAGCGGCTCTACTCTGAGCTCCTCTTTGATGATGAAGCTCCTCACCTCATCTCTAAGGCAGAGCCCAGCCACCCTGCAAAGGAAGCTCATTACAACCGCTTGTAACTAGAATCTTGCTCTATCGCTCATGATCCATGCCTCATGACCACAGCTGAGAGTTGGAACGTAGACAGACCGGTAAATCCAGAGCTTTGCCTTCTGACTCTTGAAGGAAATGTCTCAAATACAATTTAAACTTATCTTTTGAAGCAGGTCATTTAGTAAGACAAATCAAATCATCTCTCTGGAGACTCGTCACAATGTCAGAATTATTGAGGGATCAAATTTAAGCCAGGAATCTGAATATGTGCTTATTTTATTAGAACTAAATCTGACTTAATCCCTGATTTGATGTGATGGGTGGCATATATGTCAAACTTTAGCTAGCTGAAGTAACTTTGGTAACGCTTTCTTTTATGGTACCCTCATGTGATTACAAGGTAATAAAACATGTAAATGTAAAATGTAATTACTACCTTATTTCCATGTAATTACATGGTAATTAGGGTACAAAAGAAAAACTGTTAGTAAAACTACCTTTATTGGGTAACTACAATCAAATTACTATTCAATGGTAACTCAACACTATATTTATGACCAAAACAATGCAACTAAATTTTGGGGTTAGTGGTTAATTGCAATAAAATATAACTTTAAAACTGTCCAAATTACCTACTTATTTACGTGTTACATAGTGAATTGTAATACATTACCATGTAAGTCCTACATTACTGCAGACAATTACATAGTAAAATTGAACCCTAATTACCACGTAATTACATGGTAATAGGATAGTAATGTTTTTAATTACATTTTTATCACCTTGTAATTACATGGTAATAAAGATACCATAAAAGAAAACGTTACCGTAACTTTTTTTTTACCCTCAGGACCCCCCATGGTTAAGGAGCTCGGTTCACCAGACCAAAGTGCGTTTGAACATGGTGTACTTTGGTAAAACGGTGCACCTCACCAATGACCTGCTGGACCTGAGGGACGAGGTCAAAGTGTTTCAGCAGCACTGTGGAGGAGAAAACCTGTGTGTCTATAAAGGAAACCTCCTTGAGGGAGGTCAGCATCTGTGAATGAAAACAAATCATAAGTAGGCATCTGTGGAAGGTTGTTTATCTCTCTCTTTTTTTTTTCTAAACCTCCTCAGAGACGTTTCAGTTCATTTCGAGGCGACACAGAGGGTTTCCCTTCAGCTTGACCTTCTACCTAAATGGGCTTCAGGTGGAGCGGCTGAGCTCCTGCTGTGAGTTCAAACACAGCAAAGGCTCCAGACTCGGCGGACGACATGGACACTTTGGTTTTTCCAGCGTGGAGGACGCCACCCCCTGCTACAAGTAAGACGTTCAGGATTAAATGTGCACTTTGGTTTTAAAATTAATTTAAATTAATATAACAGTTATTTTTACATCAGACTGTTAGGAGTCAGTAGGCACTTTTGTCAACATGGACTAACAGGAAAAATATACTCAAGACCGTTTGCTCTTTAATCATAGGGTTAAACAAAAACTAATAGGTTTATGTCCACAATGTTAATCTAACATATGTGTTTAGACTTGCGGTTCCCAAACTTTTAAGTTTCCGACCCTGGTTATTCCAGATTTAGGTTTACTATACATTGCTAATAACTTTAATAAACAAGGACAGACTTAATAATTATACTAGTTCTTATTATTTTTAATTTATTGTGTTTAAACTTTGCAATAAATATGGTGAAAAACATTCCATTAGCAATGTGTTTAAGTTTTGATTCCTGGAAATCATCTAGGGAAGTTCTGTTGATATTTCATGACCCACAGTGGTGATCTGAAGCCATTGGTTTAGACCAGGGGTCTGCAATCTGTGGCTCTGGGTCCACACATGGCTCTTTGACAATGTGACCAAATAATATTTTTTTTGTTTTTTTGCTGTTTATATCAACAACAGAAATCAATTTGTATGCAAATATGTAATCAATACTACTAATACAAAAAGTAAAACATGTTAGCTCATGCTAGCTAGCCTGTTGTTTACTGAAATATTCCAACTTCTTTCTATGATCTTTATCCCAAATCCATCAGAATTACCTTTAAATAATTTGAAGACCACATAATAATAAGAATTAGAAAAAAATATATGCCTGAATAATAGTTGTTCTAGTTTTTATGAAACTTGGTATAAACTATATACAGTATTTTTCTTGTTTACATGAATATGGTATTTTTATTTGTCCTGGTGTACATAAAAATAAATAATATAATAATATTTTTTTTAGTTTTATAATGTCAACTCCACTGACCGTAAAGATTCCTGAAAAGGCCTTGAAAAGGCCCACAGACCACCAGTTGATAATCACAGTTGTAGCTTGTTTTGCAGCCCTCACCACATTTTATTAGTGAGACAAGGAGCAGAAATGGCTCTTTCGATTGTAAAGGTTGCAGACCCCTGGTTTAGACTGTGGCTTGTGCATTAACTACAGAAGACAGATGAACCTTTTGGGTCTGAAATGTAAAATTATTATGAGCTTGAAGCACTTGAAGAGCCCACACCTGCGACAGGACCTTAGAATGAGTTGTTCTTTGTGACAGCCCCAACTAACCCTAAACATTTTGTTCATAACTTTTTGAGAAATCTTGTGCACAGACGGACGGACAAACCCATAACATAACCTCTTTGGCGGAGGTAAAGAACACTACAGTATGAACTTGTAGTTTTCTCATATACGTAAATCAGAAACAATTAAAATCCTAAACCCAGTATCATGGACTGTGGTTGGACGATGCAATCACAGCTTCTCAGGAGGCAGACAAACTGTATTATCAAAAGAAACTCCAAATCAGGATCCAAAACCATAAATCCAATAACAGAGCATGAAGCCTAAATACTGATGCAAGAATTGACAACAACTCAAATACCTGATGACGTGAGGAGAAAATCCAAGATTAAATACACTGAGAACACTGATGACAAATTGGGTGTAGGTGAAGCAATTACAAAGCAAGATCAGAAAAAGGAAACAGATTTTACAAAATAAAGCAAGAAGTATCAGTGAAAATGAACAAAAAAAATTAACTCTAAGCAAGAGTTGAAATAAAACCCAGATGAATACGTAACACATAGAAAAACCACCACTGTTGGTCTCATTTTATTTCTGTGATTGGTTTTAGGTGCATCATAGCGATGGGGCTTGCAAAAAAGCCCACTCCTCCACCCAAGATAGAGAAAGAAGACAATACACAAGAACAGTCAGCCAACAGCACATTAGATGCTCCTGAGARGGAGACAGGAAGGACTGGGTGGGATACCGCCTCCCACTTTGAACCTAAAACTAGTCAACAACGTGGTCCAGATGCTCAAATCCAGGAACAGACTGCACCTGGGAGAGACAAAGTCAGAGAGGGTACGAGAACTGACACATCTGAGTAGAAACCAAAGCATATACCACGTACCCAAATGAGTTTCGAGTGTGTGTCTGTTTGTGTGTGTTTTTTCCCTCTTCAGATTATGAAGAGGACTTTGAAGCAGATGATGAAGGCCCTGTAGAAGAAGCAACGGTTGAAGAGGAGAAATCCCCATCTCCAGTCAGGGAAACTGAAACGCTGGTTCAAGAGGAAAACGTCTCTGAAACTGATGACAATGGTAATGATGGTGGGTCACTCTCTCAGCTACTTTGCCCTTTTTCATATAGAAAATTAAACGGATCAGAGTGTACAAAAAGTACCTAATGTGCTTTGGCATTTTGATGATTGGGGATTAGAAATTAAAAACGCTGAATTCTTTTGCACAGAAGACACCGTGTCTTGTTCAGGCTCAAGTATCTCAAGCAGCGATCAGGAGGAAAGCGACGCCGAAACCGTGAACGACTCCACGAAAGACGAGGAAGAAMGTCCACCTAAAGACGACGATGATGTCGAGGAAACGGCTGCTGCCACGGATCAGAACGAAGAACCCAAATCAGACGAGACCGCAGCCGCCAAGGTCGAGGCGACTTCTGACAGCGCCGGCGAGAGCACAGAGATAGAAATCTCTGACACCAGCACCACACCAGGGAGCGGGACTAAACAGAGCGATGACGCCTCCGAGGACAAAAACAATGAGGAAACGGTTCACGAGAACAAAACGGAGGATGAAAAGGACAGGGGTGAGTTTGGGGCTCGAGGAATAAATGAAGCTCAATAAAATTCTCTTCTATGMCAAAAATAATCCACCCAGATTTAAAGTCAAGCACAATGCATATTCTAAATATGCGCTGTACTTAGTAACATTTGAAAACTAAATATTATTGGCTTCAGTATTGTCAGCTAAATTTGACAAAATCCAAAAAAATATATAAATAAATAAACAATACTTTTAAAARTTTATGGTGGCATTCTTTTTGTGTTTCTCTGCTTTTCTTCTCATTTGTTTTGTGGTTGAGATCCTCTGCCTGATCCATTTTTGTTTTCCTTTTTCTTTACTCTGATTGCAATCAGTGTCTTAGGCTGAAACAAAGGTTTTGTACTCTTTAATTTACTTTCCTAAAACTGAGTCTAACTTTTAAGGTAAAAGAAGTGTTGCTTAACAAAAAGAGCCCTCGTTGGGTGAAACTGTAATCAGAGGAGGATGGTAGTGATATAGTAAGGTGAAGCGAGAAGATCTGCTGTGACGACCCTAAAGAGATCAGCCAAAAGAAGAAATGTCAAAAATGCTCAAAATATGCAGCTGTGAGAAGGTACTTCATTTTTAATTTACACTTTCATCCAAACTTTTCTAGCAAATTTATTTATTTTGTAGCTCCAGGGTGAGTCAAAAGTCTCAAGACACCCTTTAATTTCTGAAACAAAAACAGAAAATGAAATATCTGAATACTTCAGCAAGTAATGCAGGAGGGGGTCTYTCTTTTAGGCTATGTTCAGAAGATGGCCGCCATCTTGAAAASCACCATATTGGATCAAAGTCTAATTTTTCTAATAAGAAGATAATCATGTGGCATATCAAAGACAACCAGAATTGTCCCAGAAATAGATGACCAACTTCCCATTGAAATGTCTTGACTTTGATCCAATATGGCAGGCTTTCAAGATGGCGGCCATGTTCTGGACATAGCCAAAAATATCGTTCCCCTCATCCCTTACCTGCTGGGGTATTCAGATGTTTCAGTTTCCCTTTGGTTTCTGGAATAAAAGGTGTGCTGAGAATTTCGACTCACCCTGTTTTATTTAACCTGTTCAAGCTAGAAAAAAACTAACATGTCTACACTGCAAAAACTGTCCATCTTACCAAGTTTTAAAATCTTATGTGCAGCCAAAAAGTCTTTTTGATCTTGTTTTGAGACTGATTTACTAAACAAGGACTGATTGTGTAAGAATAATAATCTTGTTTTCAGAATGTGTAAGATTATTTGTCTTGTGAGTCTGAAAATTTGACTCAAATTAAGTCAAAGATTTCTGCCAATGGAGTAAGAAAATTTTACTTGATAAGATTCTTGAAATAAGAAAAAAATTGAATCAAATCAAGTATTTCAAGAATCTTACCAAGTAAAAATTTTTTACACCATTGGCAGAAAGTTTTGACTTAATTTGAGTCAAATTTTCAGGCTAACAAGACAAATAATCTTACACATTCTCAAAACCAGATTATTATTCTTAGACAATCAGGTCTTGTTTAGTAAATCAGTCTCAAAACAAGATCAAAAAGACTTTTTGGCTGGATATAAGATTTTATAACTTGGTAAGATGCACAGATTTTCTTGAACAAAGCCAGCTTTTGATCTTAGCTGTTGATTAATCATAGACTGAAAAAAGATTTAACAGTTTTACATTTTACCATTAAGAGTTCATTGGAATAGGAAGAGTTTTAAAAGTTTGTTTATAGTGTTTCAAATCTGGTTGTGCTCTTTGTTTCTCCATCTTGACTTACATTTTGCATGTTGTGTTGCTTTACCTTCATAATTTTGCTCCTAAATAAGTGAAATAAATGTGTTTTTTTCTTTCTTTTGGTCTTCTTTGTTGTATTTGCTTTGCTCCAATCTAGTCTTCTTGAATTTAACAGTTTCTTTAACCACATGAATCATGTGACTTTGCATTTCTTAAGCCAAATCTGTGCAGGAGAAGCTGGCAGAAGCCATTTTGAAGGAGTCCCAGTGCAGCACTGAGCCTGAACTGAGCGACACCAGCACAGAGGAAGAGGAGGGGCCCACAGCTAAAGACCCCCAACAGGAGAACAATGGTACTGGAATTTATTACATTTCTCATCTAATTTGATTTAATTTTACAAATGAACCTCCAGCAAAGTTTTTTTTTTTCTGTTGTCAGATCAAGAACAGACTGTTTTAAAGGASACAAAACGTGAGGAACCTGTTACTGATGAAGTGGCACAGAAACAAGAAGAGTCACCTGAAGCAAAAGAAGAAGAAGAGGAAGAGGAGCAACAGCCTCCTGACAAGAGTGAAAGCATTAAAGATGAGGTCAGTGAGGCTGAGGAAGACGGAAAGGCTGCAGAGGATGAAGTCACAGCAGAGGCAGATCAATCTGAGGAACCAAATGAAACCCAGCTTCATGTAGACGATGAAGATGTTGCTCAGGATGATCAAACTGAAGATCCCTTTGATGGAAGGAAGCCTGCTYAGGCTTCAGAGGACAGTGAAGAAAYGGAGGGGAAGGTTGTTGTGGAGGCTGACGTTCACACTGATGAGACGGGGCAAAAGGCAGAAAGCAAAAAAGAGGATGAGTCATCCGGATTAGAGACAGAGGCAACAGCAYCAAGCGAGACAATGGAGATCAAAGCAGAGTCCTCGGAGGGGCGAGAGGCCCTCAGCTTTGAAGAGGCACCTGAAACCCACGCAGAGAGGAGGCAGCAGGCAGACGGCGAGGACGACACCGCGGCGTCACAAACCGAAGTCACCGCTGAGAATTCAAGCCGCTCGCCTGAGGAGGCTGCAGCCTCCACGGAGGGGAGAACAGCCAACGAACGTGAAGAAATGACGAAAGACGAGAGCAACGAGGGTGAAATTAAAGAGGAAGCTCAGGAACAAACATCAGAAACCGACGAACAAAAGAACGACGACGAGCAGGAGGAGTGTGAGCCGGAGGAGGAGGAGAAGATGGAAATAAATGAAAAAGTACATGAAAACACGAAGCAGCAGGAACCCGAGGAAGAACAAATTCAAATGAATTCAGACGAGATAACAGTTGAAAATACACAGGAAACAGAACTGAAGCAAACAGAAAACATTACTGATGACAGTAAGGTGGAGAACCGTACAGACACGAATGAAAACATCACAGAAAGTCAAAGCACAGAAAATGAAGAAAATGCAAAACATCTCCAAGCTGTAAATATAGYGAACATAGAGGAGGCAAGAAGTGAGAATGCTGAGGACAGTGAATGTGTCAAGAATCAAAGTGAAGGAGGTGATGACTGTCAGAACAAAAACCTGACTGAGACAAACACGGCTTCTGAAGAAAACAACGACGGAGCAGGAGAGTCTGAGAAAGCTGAGAACGAGGAGAAAGTTACAGAATCCGAAGCTGAAGAAAAAGATGTAAGAGAAGGAGAAGAGGTGTCTGAGATTACAGAAAAACAAGAGAAAAGTGACGACGAAGAAGAAAATAGAATATGTGCTGAAAACACTGCTGAGTCGGCGGATTTGTGCGACAGTGAAGCAGCAGAGACGCACGAGGTGCAAAATGTCACAGAAAATGAAAGTGACGAAGGGGAAACTGCAGGAGCGAGTGAAAATGGAGCGATCAATGCTGAAAATGGGGAGGTTTCTTTTGCAGATGAGAGCCATTCTAACGAGGATGAGGAAGAAGCTCCAGCCAAAATAAACACCGACTCTGAGAGGATGGAACAAGCCAAAGAAAAACCAGAAGAACGTGGAGAGGAGAGCTCAGAGGGAAAAGATGTAAAGCCTGAAGAAGCTGCAGAAGAGCTCGAGAATGACATATCTGGTGCGGCTCCTGATACTGATCTCACACAGAGCTCCAGTAAAGAAGGTGATGACAGCGAGGCAAAGCACCATGAAACCAAAGACAACCCAGAGCTGGACATGTCTGAGCCAGGAATAAAAGAATTAGAAGAGAAGAAGGGCGATGGAGAAACAGAGAGGGATAAAAACAAAACATTAGAAAACATTGAGAACATCGGTGAGTTTGTGCTTTCAGAAGATCAGGAAAAATCTTCATTACCAACAGATGATGACGGTGATGCAGTTAACCATTTAGATGAAGAGAAGGACAGTTCAGTGTCYGACAAGAACCCTGAAAATGCTGCTGATGGAGAGACTGGAGGAGCTGCAGAGGAGGCCAGCAAGGCCTCGGAGGAAGGAGCGAGTGTTCTCCTCAAACCTTCAGCACAAAACAAGGTGGCAGAACAGAGCGTCACTGTGAGGGAGGAGACTCCAGAGACACTAACTAACATAGAAAGTACAGATATGGTCACAAACTGGATCATGATGCACCAGTCGTCTAAGTACTTTGAGACGTTTGTTGAGCCGTTAGAAGATCTGAGGGAAGAGCTTTTAGATATAAAAGCATCCAACTCAGATGACAATGAAACACCATCTACAGAGCCACCAAAACCAGAGGGTCCAACGAATATGGCGAAGATGTTTGGGAATGAAGGAGAGCCAAGGGCCACAACTGAAACAGAAACTGAGGACCTTGAAAACATCCAAGATGATCAGTATGACCCAGTTCAAGCTGCTCTGCAGGGTGAGGAGAACCATGTAGCATCCAATGAAGAAACTCACCAAAGTGGTCATGAAGGAGATGTGGAAAAAGACCAAGATCAAGATGGACCAGCCAAAGAAACTCATGAGAAAACAGAAGCAGGAAGCTTCTCAGGCTCCCTCAACGCTGAGCGTGTTTTCGGGACCCAAAGTGGTGAAAAGGTTGCCAGCGTTGGATCAGCTCCACAAGCAGTCGCTGCCCTGTCTTTGACAACTGAAGGGTTTCTTGAGTCAGCGAACAACGCAGGTCAGACAGACGATCGGACAGGTCAAATCACCACGCTCTCCACATCCAAACCAGCTGATGGAAGCCAAGAGGAGTCGGGCGATGAGGACGCCCATCCAGAAACGTTAGGAGACCGTTTCAGTGGAGAGACGAGAGCCGTGGAGCTCATCAAACAGTTCAGTAACGACCACCTGAACTCCTTCTCAGTGGACAGAGCACTGTTCGCTCACACCTCGTACCCTTTARCCTTAACTTCAGGCGCTGAGAGTGGACCGTAAAGGTAGAATGATAGTTTGCTCTCATTTAGTTTTGTATAGATGCATATGTAGGCTGTGTGAACACATGGCTTTAGGTTCGATAGGGTTTTCTAACAGTTTCTAGGGATGGGCATTGCAAATTAGCTCTGGCTATAAATGTTGTAGTGTATAGTATTAATACTTGACACGTGTCCCTATTCAAATAAACAATAAATGAAATGAAACGAACCGAACTGAAAAAGGAAAATATCTATAGACTGAGCTCATTTATAGTTAAAGCAAACAAGTTGCACAAAATGTTTCAGCTGCTGGATTCAGTGTTTACAGCAGATCGCCTCTTCCTATTGTTAGTGTGTCTCCAGCTTGGTATCAAGTACAGCTGCTATCATCTGTTACCTGTAAACAGATACTGACCTACTCACAGATGATTGAATAATTCATGTCAGACTCTTTAGTTAGCCTCTCTTACACTTTACATTTCCAGCGGGCGGAGATGAGTGACCCAGCTTTCATCAGAGATCTGTAATCCAAGCTGTCCGCGACCATCTCTGACCACCCTCTGAAACTTTATCAACAAGGGGAACATTAAGCTGATGATGAGTCCATTAATGTCAAGTGATCCTTACAAATGAAACTACCTCTATTTAAAGACCTTTTTAAGCATTATTTTGCTTGTTAAGCTTGTGTTTAGGGTTAGTTTGGGTTTGTAATGCTTCGTGATTCTGTGTGAATGAGCCAAAACCAAAATAAAGTTACTGAGACTGGACAGCGACTTTGCCTTTTTGCCAAAAAGAGGTTGACATGTACACAAAAACAAAAGACTTTTGTGAAGAGAAATATTTAATTATATCTAATGATACAATTCACAAAAAAAACTTTATTTGTAAACCTTAAAAACAAACTACAGAAACAATCATTTGTTAGCTTCTACCCCTCTTTGTTTAGTTTTATCTCTAATGTGTTCARAGATTACAGTAAATAAATGGGTTAGGTAGCAATAAAAGAGTCCAGATCCTGATGTGGGTTCAGGTACTGTCCTCAAAGCTGCCGCTGCTGCTGAACGATGAGCGGAACCTCATGGTGCTCATGGGATCAGAAACGTACCCTGAAATAAAGAACATTTAGACAGAGAGCTTCTTTTGAATTAAAAATTTACATTTGTGACAATTTCAGCTTTTCAGTTCAAAGCTGCACTTGTTTTATTTATTTAATACATTCCTCAAGCTGTGAAAGTTCAGAACAAAAGCAACAACCTGGGTTCCATCAGTAAGTTGTTAGTTCCACAAACAATAACTGTTGTTACGCCGAGTCGTGACTTCTGCAGACAAACCGTTTCGATCGATGGGAGAGAACTGCATGTTCCTCCTGATTTCCTCCAGCGAAAGGCCACCAGAAGCCCGACGACGCTCACTGAAAATGAAAACCAGCAACCTCAGCTGCATTCATTAATCAAACTGCAAAACAATCCGTGTCCAGAGTTATACGGCGCTACGTTTAGACGCAGGACAACAGGCGAGATGTGGGCCAGGTACAAACTGAAGACATTTGATACGTTCTGCTTTCCCTTTCTGCACGAGCCATGTATACAGGATTTAAAAATAAAAACCTGTGTGGCACACAACACCATGAATACATGTATGGTTCATTTTTCCATTTCAAAATAAAACTAATATTCTAGTGGTTTTTTTTTTAGTTTTTAAACTTTATTAGAAAAACAACAATTGCAAAATTGAAAAATGCTGTTTCTTCGACTTTTTCATTTTAATGGTTAAAACAAGGACAGTGTTTATATTTTGTTAGCGCACTATTTATTACTAGCGTAACCGGAAATCATCATGGCCTGAACTCCGCATTATGTTTCACTTAGGACTTTTTTAGAAGGAGTTGTCGAATCTTGAGAGTTATTTTACCGTGAGCAAAATTGATCTGATAATCAGATTTGAACTCAGCCATTGCCAATATCTTTAGAATCGGTTTCCGTTTTATAGCATTCTTCCAGCCACTGTAAACTCTTCTTCTTTGGTGACAGAAACCATATACTGTATTTTATTTTGGATTAAAATAGCWGAAGCAAAAAACAAACACTGTGTGTTTTTAATTAGTTAGATATTTCATTTAGGTTTTGAAAATGGAAAAACAAACAATTTATTTTGAAATGGAAAAACCAAAGAAGAACCGTACACGGATCGTCATGCCTGGTTTCCTTTTGTTTCATATTTGGTTACCAAGAAACTCCATTCTTCAGCTTACATTATAACCGATCACCTGGACAACACTTTAACACCTATTTGGGGWTTAAATAAATCTCCTTTGCTCTTTAGTGGATAAGTAACACAGCATGTCGTTAGGATTTATTTGAATGTCTCCATTTGTAACTTTTTAGTGAGAAGTTTCTCTGGGTTTTAAATAATAATTTAAGAAACGTCTATAACTTGATGACTGTATCAGTCTGTTCACAGAGCCCAGAAACAACATTGAATCAGAACCATCACACAGACACTTCAAGTGCTGAGTGTTAATGTGACCATTGTGCAGTAATCTATTCTCTTGATCTTCACTTGTCTGAGAAGGTGCTCCAGTGTCCTACCTCTGAGTCCAGAAGGCGTAGGCGCGAGTGTTGAGAGCGTACTCCAGCTCAAAGCGGGAGCGCAGGGCGGCCACGTGGCTCCGGCCCGGTCCGCCTCGCCCCAGCAGGCAGTCYGAGGAGGAGGAGGGGGACAGGGAGCCGCTGCTGTTGCTGGAAGCCGGGGACATCAGCTGGGACAAAAGAAGGACACATGACAACCTTAGTAAACGTTTATTTAAAGCAGGTGAGYATAGATTTTTCATACCTCAACATTACACAGACATTCCTCCAGGCTGGAAACCACTTCAGAGAATTCAGGCCTGTCCTAAAATCAGAAACAAAGTTTCAGTCACATTTAAAAAACAACAACAYTGGAACAAGTGTGTCCTCTCTAACCCCTTCCTGTGTTTTTATTTTTCCAATCAATCCTAAGGAAAAGGTGAAGTATGCCACTAAAAACAGTCATTCCTGCATCTGTCTGCATCTCAGTGTACCAAGATACAAAACAGAAAATTATCAGGAAAAAATCCAACCCTTGTTTATTTCTTCTAAACACTCTTGTTTGTGGTGTTTGATGGAATCAGAATGATTTATTAATAAAAAGTAGACAAAATCCTTTTTTTTTCACATTTAAATCATTCAATTGGGGTCTAAACCCTTTGGGGTCTATATAAAGTGGAACTGCAACGCTTTGGTCTGTATTCCTCCTTGTTGTAACTCCACAAGCCCCTCTTTCACCTCTTTTCTGAGATGTGTCTCAGATCAACTTGTTTTGAGGCTGTCTCTTTAAATCTAAACGAGGTGCTTCACACCCCAGAGGGGTTTATGACTATAATGCTGCACAGAAACTTTTGTTTTACAAATGAATWAAAAGATGTTAACAAGAGAAGACTTATCCATCCAGTCTTACATGCTGGAGCCAGAGTCTGACCCAGAGCCAGAGGAGGATGAAGATGGTAAAATTGTAATTGGTCTAGACCTTATTTAGAGGTTTCATTGTAAATAATTTGATGWAATAGTTCAAAAAACATTATCGAAAATAGAGAGAACTAAATGGGTTGAAAAATATAATCCAAACAGAATATAAAGATATCCACGGAGCACCGTAAGAGATTAGATTAAACATTTTTGCATTCCTAGAGACTCCAAGTACGCAACAAAATCCATTTAATGGCAAAAAAATGGATTTTACAAGAACTGTCCCCTTTAAGTAAAACTTGTGCTCAGATGAGAAAACGGTGGCAGCCCTGTTCAACATGTAGCTCTGGTTAAATGAAATGATTTCACGACGTTGCTCTGGGACAGCCAGGCAAACAGGTGACACGTCGGGCATCGTTAACTTGCAAGCAGGAAGAACGTGTTGCACAAAGAGAAAGATGTGCCAGCAGCAACTTTGTCCCGTGGAATAATGCATCTTGATGAGGTGGAGTGGAAAACAGCCCTGCTAATTATGAGCATGACGGCACGGTGATGCATCGTCTGGGGACTGGCCTCTAGCTTTCATCAGTGCTGCATGTGCTTAAAGGAACAGCTGATTGTGCAGATTATTGTGTTTGATTTAATTAATGTTGTAAATGGCTGTTTAAATGACCTCAGTTTGGTTTAAAAAAATAGTAATTCTGAGTAAATTCATAAAAGGCAGTCTTAATGGGGCCAACAGAGACTGAAATCTTAAAACTTCATTCTCCAGTAAGTTGCAGGCATCTCTCTTGCAATAAATTTTATTAAGATAAGATAAAACAGAGCTGGATGGTTTGTACTGAAAACCTTTTTGTTGTTGTTGTTGTTGTTGTTGTTTGTTTTGTTACAATATTAATGCTCTGGTTTTAGTATACCAGCTTAAATTTCCTGAGCATTGTGCGGAACATTGCAGCCACCAATAAATTGTTTCACAGGGACTTTTTTTCCTGCTGGACCGCTGAAAGCACAGCAGCACAATACTGTCGTTGCCTGTGTCTCAATAGACCTTTTTGTAGTTAGAAATGATCACAAAAAAATCACGGAAAAGCTGAGGTTGCCACTGTAATTGCACAAATTCAGCATTTACAAATTTATGCCGTTATACYTACCKAATGTATTTGCTCTAAACAGATTTGTGCTAAACTTTCCTTTAGGACTGTAGATGAGAATTTTCATAAATATCTAAGCTATTTTGTGGTTTTCGAGCTCGTTACATTTGCACAATTACAATGGCATTTTCACCGCAATGTTTACCCAGTTGACCTGTAACCCAGAAGGGCTTTGCTCCGCGCATTTGTGATTCATTTCTAACTACGAAGTGGTCTGTTCAGGGGCTGGTATTCTTCAAACTTTGCAGAGTTAAATTTGTTGCTGCGCGGTCCCGTTATGCACCGTGCAGGAGAAAGAAMGTTATAGTCTAAACGCTGGATAGCCGCAATGTGATGCAGAGTCACAAATATTTTGGTCAAATAGCATTTCCACACATTGTACCAGGAGCACAGAGGGAAGGTAAGTCATTAGTGACCCTACGCTGAAAACTATCACTTCTACAAAGACTAATTATATTTGTGCGGACATGATGATGTAGTAGACAACTCCTGACCACTTTACCACAGTAAATATCAGGCTTGCTGGAGATTTAGGACCTAAAATGCAGATGGAAGCAGAAAGAGCTCAACAACTAAASCGATTTATTCATAAAACTAAAGCTGACGAGGTGGAAAAAAWTTTACAAAAACACAAGAGCTGGAGGACACATAAGAAACACATGGAGAGCCTGATATTTAGCACAAGTGAAGGCAGCGCAGAACTGATGAGGTGGTGACAGAGACTGAATAAATAGGAATGGGCTGATGAGAACATGGAAGGCATCTGGGCTAATTAGGGCGAGACAACAGGTGAGAGTGGCTGATAGACTGGAAAACTACTGAGACTGAGGGAGGAATGAGGAATGACACAAGGGARACAGAGGAGCTAAAGAGAAATAATGCAACCTAAAAAGGAACTTAAAAAAACAACYCAAGGAACCATAAACATAAAAACGCAGAGATCCTGACAGTAATTTCCCTCTCAGTAAGTAGAAAATGTCTTTTACACACATTGCTGTGCATGTAAAAAAAATACCAGCATACTGTTAGAAAATATGGTGATATAAATGTTTAAGATAAAGCAACACCAAATAAATATATGGTCTATCTGGGCTGCGCTGATGGTGCATTCATGGACCAAAAAAATGTTGGATTTATCAGTACTGACCACTTAAAGACTGATATATACTTTATATTATTATTATTATTATTATTATCATTATTAATATTATTATTATTATTATTATTTTGTTAGGATTTGTCTGTCTGTTCACCAATTTGAGCCGATCAAGGTGCAAATTCCCCGTTAACAATTTGAGCCAATCATTTGGTGTATCTTTTTTATTTACATATAATTGTTTGATTTTCTTTTAAACTGGACAAATAGTGGCATTAATAATTGTAGCCTGGGGCATTTTGAGCAGACATAAGGTCTGCCAGAACAACCATGTAACGCGAAAATGAAGGCGGTGTAAAGGGTYACAGAAAATATCAGCTTTGCATATAAGTTACAAATGATTTGATGTAATGTTTCTAATAATGACAGAACAAACAGGAAGTCGGGGTGTTACCTCTGGACACGAGTTCCAGCCTCTCATAAGAAGTGCAGAGATGGGTTTGGGGATGGAGTAGCCGATAGGAGGCCGGATGTGATGGTAAGCCATGTCTGCTGCAGCCGCAGCTGAGGAACGGTTCAAAGTTAGATGTGTCCAAGTTCTGTTGGCATTTATTTTACATAAATCTGAATAAAATGAGTACTTTTACACAAAACAATAAATAGTCAAAAAAATCCTTAAAATTCTTTATAAACCAATAATGATTAGTTACAGCATCAGATTAAAATGGGCAATGATTTCTTGCTAAATTGACATTGAACTATGTTTCAATTAGAAATTTTCTCCAAATGACTTGGGGTTTCTTTTGGCTCGTTTTGGTGCAGAAACATTAGAAATTAAATATAACAAGTTAAGTGACAAAGAGAAGAATTTTGATTAGGCTGAGCTAATTGAAAATTGTGATTAACTGGGATTATTTAAAAAGTATAGGATCTCACCACAGTAAAATTGCTTTAACATAAAAGGCGGTTAATAACTTTTTTGTATGTTAATAAAATTATAGTAGTATATTAAGCTATTTAAGTGTTAAAATGTAATTAATAACAAAGTATTTTGGAATCCTTTATTGTAAAGTGGTACAGGTGTACTTTGTGCTTAATATCAGCCTAAACCTAATAAGCCCTATTACTGTTATTTATCAACATGTCAGGACTGTTATAGGACTGTGATACTTATTTATTTTTTTTATTTACCGTTATTTTACCAGGCAAATCCCATTGAGATCTCAGATCTCTTTTTCAAGGGCGGCCTGGGCCTGAAGGCAACCTATTGTACATGTTTTTGTGTTGTGGGGGAAACCGGAGTACACGGAGAAAACCCACGCAAGCACGAGGAGAACATGCAAACTCCGCACAGAAAGACACCCAGGTCCGAACCGGGGATCAAACCCAGGACCTTCTTGCTGTGAGGCGTCGGTGCTAACCACTGAGCCGTCGTGCCGCCGAACTTTACTTAGCAAAAATCAGTGTGTATAGAGCTAAATTGGGGTCATAAAGTTTGTAAAAATATATCTACACTATATTTTTTTAAAAATTGGGAACAGAAAAAAAATTGAAACTGAAAATAATTAATATTGTATATTTGATTATATGATAAATATTTGTTAATTATATGCTACAACGGTCTGTCATACACGTTAATTATGACCCAAATATCTGCCATATTTTTAATCTATATGATAAAACGACCTGCCATATTTTAAATTATGGCACAATAGCCTGCTATATTATTTATTATATGACACAACTTTCTGCGTTAATTAGTTAATTATAACGATCTGTCATTTTTTTTATGATGTGACACAAAGGTGTGCCATACTTTATGAATTACATGATAAAACAAACTGCCATATTTTAACTTATTTGGCAAGACGGACTGACATAATTTTTTAATGTATGATACAAAAGCCTGCCATACTTGGTTAATTATATGATATAATGGCCTGCCATATTTTTGAACTGAATGACACAATAGTCTAGCATAAATGGCTAATTATATGATACAACTGCCTACCATTTTTCTTTATTAAGATACAATGGGCTGCCATGCTTGTTAATTATGTGATAAGATATGCCATATTGTTTAATTATATGACATAACAGCCTGCCATATACTTATTACATGATAAAAGTTTTGCACTTTTTCTATCAGTTTCAAATTGATTATCAAGTTTATTTTTTTTTTCAGTTCACAATTTTTTCCCTCAGTTCAAAAAAAAGTATTTTGTTTGAATAAACTTTGCGACCCCAATTCAGCTTCATAAATGTGGTAAAAAATGTGGTAAAAAAGTGTTACCACTGACAGTCACTGATTCAGTTGTGGATATTCAGTAGAAATAATTTAGATTGTTTTGTTAATAAAGCAATAATGTAAAGACCACAGCAAGTGTCAGTCAGTCATCATTTTTATTCTTAAATCTTGTCCTAATGAAACTACTTCAGACACAAACTTAAGACTTGTTGAAACTCATCTTATTAAAATGATTGCATCCCAAACAAACAAAAAATAGAAAAACAAAACAAAACAAAACAAATCACCTGGTTTCAAGTGAGCGAAGGGGATTTCTCCAGTGAGCAGCTCCCACAGACAGAGGGCGTAGCTGAACATGTCCGCCTTCACTGAATAACGAGTGCATTGTGTGAACACCTCAGGAGCCATCCATCGCAGGTTCTGCACACACGCACACACGCACGCACGCACGCACGCACGCACGCACGCACGCACGCACACACACACACACACACAACACTTAGATGTTCAAAAAGTGAAAGCAACATAAAGTGAATTTTAGTTAGCGGACTGTGACTGATGTGTTTTAAGTTGTCTAAACATAATAAATGTCCAAACACAGACATTTACACACACATGAAGGAAGTCCAGTTATTATAATAAATACTCGTTGTTTTTGGCAAGGGCAAGTAGTTTGACACAACAGACAGATCCTAAGAGATGCAACACACTTAGCAGCAAACTGCAGGCTAAGCACTCTGCAGTGCTGAGTCAGCACATTCAGATAAATTCTGCAAGAAGGCAGTTTTTATCCGGTGGGTAATTGATGGCAGAAGGTGCCTGTCTTCAACTCCCACAAAATACCAGCATATACTTTTATTTCCCCCTGAYGTGACGTATCCTGGCTCTGGTGTGAAAGGAAGGAAGCTCATCATGAGGTGGGCGAACACTACTGACCCCCGGCTGCTTGGTCATGTTGTCCTCGTCGACTGACTGTAGAAACCTGGATTCTGTGGGGAAAAGAAAAAACAGGCGCAGGTCGGAGGAAGTAGCAGTTGTTACGAAGTAAAACAAAAAAAGTACATTCTTTAGAGAAAAGCTGTGACTCTGTGAAACATATAAAGTCAGAGTGCACTAAGTTAAATTTGATGCAAGTGGTATATTTCTAAAGTGTTATAAGATGTTATGTTCCCACTGAAAAAACAACTTTTCAAAAAGCTGTTAAAGAAAGAATAGACAAAATAAATCAAACCACTCAAGTTCTCTTAAATAACATTTTTAAATATTATTATAAATTATATGTTAAAATAATGATTGAAAACAGATTTAATTTTATGATAAATATCTGAAAACATTTATTAGATTTGTTTTATTTCTGCATTTTTTCTTAATTTGCATTTTCCCCTCTTTAGCTTTCTGAGGTTGCCTTAGGTCATCTTTGATGTAATCACCTTCTCATTGAAAACATTTGACTTTAATCCAGGTTTTCAAAATGGCGGCCATTTTCCGAACATTGCCTAAAATATAGTCCCTCTTACCCATCAATTGCTGGAATATTCAGATTTTTCATTTTCCTTTTTTGTTTCCAAAWTGAGCGGGTGTCCTGAGTCTTTTGACTCACCCTGTAATATCTCATGATCCGCTGGAAAAATGTAATAAAACTCTCATTTAGTAACCACTAGCTATACATCTATAGGAACTTTTTGGAATTAACTTGATTCACCACAGTTAAAATGACCTAGGCAAACACAACTCCGTTATTTTTTTATAAATATCAAGCTATAATTAGGTGTGGTTGTAGCTGAGAGTCTACCCCAACACACAATCTGAGCACTGACTGATCACGTGACATCTTTGTTTAAAACCTTGGCATGAAAGGCAGCATCCCCTCATCCTAAAATGAGATGATGTAACACAATACCTTTTTAAAGMGGCAATATTATGTGTTTCTCAGGCATATATTTAAATACTATACCACAATAAAGTATCTATGTCACCTTTAGCTGTTATTAAAATGCTGTTTTTATGTTTAAATAGAAAATAAACTTATCTTCTCATCACTTCCTCCTCTAAACACCTTGAAATTGGCCTCTGTCTCTTTAAGAACCACATTCCGCTACTGTCTTGTCCATTTCAGTGCAGAGCTCAGCAGACAGTTTAAGTTTCACTTTCACTTTCACCCGAGAGCCTGCAGGAGTCATGGGCGGGGTGTGTGGGGAGGGGGAGGGGGTGCTCCAACACGAGGAAGCTCGGCTCAAAGATACGTCCCAGGGGCGTTTCTGGTCCCCACCTGTCGTTTTGCTCCTCAGCATGTCTTCCTTTCTCAAACATGCATGAATGAGTCAAAGCAAGGCTTTGGGCATGTTTTTTATGAGATTATAACATTATAACATGATGTAAAACTCAAAACAGTTTATTTTACATGATATTGCCCCTTTAAAGAACAAGATATTTATTGCAGTTTTGGTATTTTAAATACTGCTTTTTATGGTATTCAATCAAACCTTGTAAACATTGTATGCAGCTCCTTTATTTGTTAACTTCAAGTGAACAAAATGGACGTGACTTTTTTGTACAATTTATGGAGTATGACTTGAAATCTTTAACAGTTAGAGGAGAGTTAGTTCATTCGTGTYAACTGAGTAAAGATGGAAGTCACACAATGATAGACACTGAAGTTTTGCTCAAATTAGCCAACTTCAGTCACATTTCAGTGTAGTCCCTCTTTAAAAAAATGAAACAACTTCTGTGACTGAACGGGTGAATCCCTTATGAATACTCACCTCCAAAGTCAGCCACTACCGCATGCCCGTCCTCATAAAGCAGGATGTTGTGGCTGGGAGGAAYACGGCTGTAATGTTAGAACATAAACACAGTGGCAGCAGCCATCACGTGTGATTACTGRAACTCCAACCTGTTGAGGTCCCGGTGGATGATGGGCTGGGTGAGGTTGTGCAGGTACTCCATGCCCTTGGCCACGTCGATGGCAATGATGAGCTTGGACTGCAGGTCGATGAGCCTGTCCATTGACACATCATTAAAGCAGCGACCACTTAGCTCCGGATCAATAGGCTCTGCCAATCAAACGCAGCACTTTACACAGGTCGATAGGACAGTCTATAAAGACAGCACCTGGACACACAGTTAGCAGAACACTTTATCTGGATCGATGGCGGTCCCGGCTGAGGGGCAGAGAGCGGTGAACTTGACGCTCGCAGGATGACAATGAGACCTGTGCAAACAAGTCCTACAGCACCCAATATCTCCTTCTACATCCAATCCATTACCACCTTGSTTTTACATTTTAAAGAAGCCCACTTTCACCTACTTAGGTAACTTAATAAAATATTTTAAATTATGAATTATACATCAATACATTTCTTGAGAAAACACACAGAGACTGGAGGAGGATCGAATGAAAACAAATCAGACTGTTTTATGGTCCTCCTATCAGCTGACTTCCCACTGATTTGTCCTCGTTCATTATTTTAATCTTCCTCTCATCATTTTGAGCTTTGGTGAGATCATTTTTCATGTAAATATTTTTCTTTTATTGYGTTGCAGCCAAGTAGGCACAGTTGAAACCAGATGTTTACATATACTATATAAAAAACACATGCGCATTTTTTCCCCCACACTAACGTGAAATCAGAATAAACTTCTCCTGTTTTAGGTCAATTAGGATTACCAAAACTTTTTCCTATTTGTTAAATGCCAGAATAATGAGATGGTTTTTTAAGGCAACTTTTATTACTTTCTTTAAAGTCAAAAGTTTAAATACACCCCGTTAGTATTTGGTACCATTGTCCTTAAACTGTATGACTTGGGTCAAATGTTTTGGGTTTTCTTCCACAAGCTTCTCAGGAATGTTGGCCCATTCCTCCAGACAGAACTGGTGGAACTGAGCCATGTTTAAAGGCCACCTTGCTCGCTCATGCCTTTTCAGCTTTGCCCATAAATTTTCAATAGGATTGGGTTCAGGGCTTTGTGATGGCCACTATCTTTGGGACACTTTCTAACCAGTTTGGCAGCATGCTTTGGGTCATTTGGAAGACCCATTTGTGTCCAAGCTTTAACTTCCTGGCTGATGACTTGAGATGTTGCTTCAGTATTTCCACATAATATTCTTTCTTCATGATGCCATATATTTTATGAWGTCTCTCCTGGAGCAAAACAACCCCACAACATAATGGTGCCACGCTCATGTTTCACAGTAAGGGTGGTGTTCTCAGGCCTGCAAGCTTCACCCATTTTTTTCCTCCAAACGTAACGATGGTCATTATGGCCCAACAGTTCAGTTTTAGTTTGGTCAGACATGTCTACAAACAGGAGGGTCTTTGTCCCTGTGTGCATTTGCAAACATTAATCTGACTTTTCATGTTTCTTTTCTTTTCTTTTAAAACTTCTGGTTTTAGCTGTATATACTGTAGAACAGCTGGAGTGAGATCGTGTGATCTAGTGTAGCAGCAGCAGCATTGACCAGAATTGGCAATAATCTGGATTATGCGTTAGCAAAAGAGTCAATAACAAGGGCTGATTACTTTAAACCTGCATTAATACGGTAACTGAAATGTGTCAGGTTTACTTTGGGCTCCAGTCTCTTATTAATTAGTCAGGTTGGATCGGGCTCAGACAGAATGTCTTCAGGTTTGGATCGGGTTGYATTTTTTAAGCCCGGTCTGAACTTTAAATTGTTTAGAGTGGATCTGTGGTTGTTTTCTGTTGTTTTGAAGCAGTTTGACCTTTAACCGGTGTTTGAGTGTTGCCTAAAAAGCTTCGATTTGTGCCGATTTTGAGTTTATTTTTTGCATCTCTTTCTTTTCATTGGTTATTTTTTGTGGTTGTTTTTTTTTTTATAAAGCACCAGTTATATTGTTTTCTCCTTGTCCTTTTTTGTTGTTTCTGATTAGTAATGTGTGTTTATATGCCTTATGTATTTATTTGTGCTCATGTTGCATCCTTTTCTGTTTTTATGGTCGATTTAAATCAACCTTTGGACTATTTGTAGCCATTATATATTTAAAGCATTTTTATATGGTTTCCAACTGATATTGTCACTTGGTAAGCTGTGTGATGTTTCCAGCTGTTTCGTGACTTGTCTTGTGGCAGAAAAAGATCAGCTTTGATGCTTTATGCTTGAACACGGCTGTGTTGTTGTGCGTATTTTTTTTTGTTTGTTTTTTAGACAAAGCATCTCACCTCTTCTGCTCATGCAGCAGGGAGAACAGCGAGCCTCCAGAGACGTACTGAGTGACGATGGCGAACTGACTGGGGTCATCCAGGCARGCCCCTACAAACTGGATGATGCAAGGGTGGTTGAGGCGGCARAGGATGGACACCTCTCTGCAGAACATGTCCACGTCCGACTTGGAGCAGTACGTGTTGGCTCGATAGCTGCAGAGAGCAGGAAATCAAAACAACAATCTTTTTTTTTCAGTTTATTCAAACAGAGGAGAGATGCTGCATCGCTTCTTTGTATTAGTGGTGATAAATAAAAAATAAATAAATAAATAAATAAATAAATAAATAAATAAATAAATAAATACATACATACATACATACATACATACATACATACCGTTTTATGGCGACAATTTTGTTTCTGCATTTGCCTCTGTAGACTCTCCCAAAGGAGCCTGAGTGTGTAACGCACACGCTCATCAATATGATTATCAGATTTGCGAGCACATTAGCTGAAAAGAAAAACACAGAGGAATGGACCTACCAGAGCCGATAATTTCATTAAACTCCAGCTCAGATAGCTGAAGGTGGAAATGAGACGGGAGGCTGGCCCTGAGGACAAGAACCTCTGCCTTTTCTGAAAATACAGGAAGAAAAACCCTGCAGTTTGAATAATAACTTATTTAAAAGTGAAACAAAATCCTAAATCAATTGTTGGAAATATGTTCCTAGAAATAATACATTCTACTTTTCATGTGTTAATGTGTTGGTGCTTTTGGAAGGCCATTTCAGAAGCTTTTATTCGTTCAGACACCAGTTACGATCTGTGCATTTGGGATCATTGTCTTATTGGAACACTACTGTGTTTACGTTTGTTGATTTGACATTTWTTATTCCATTTACTTGGTACAACACATCAGCACCACAGCATGATGCTACCACCACCATGCTTGACATGTGGGACAGAGTTCTTAGGGTTTTGGGATGGAGATAAATTAGTCTCAATAAGATTTTAGCACACAGATCTGCCTGCATGTAAATGTGACATGTGCTTCCTGCTGCAGATTCACACGAGTAATGCTGCGTTCAAGGCTGGTGAAAAGCTGGGACATCCGAGTGTCACTACACTTACTGGGTTATTGGAAGCAACTTGGTACATTAGTGGGATCCACAAATTATATTTTTATAGATAGCACATTTAAACTAAACTGCTAATAACAGTTAGGTTATTTTTTCCAGAGGGAAAATACTGGGAAAAAAATCTGGTAGTTTTTCCACAAGAAGAAAAAGTTAGTTTTGTGGACTGTGCAGCTGAAATAAATATTTCTAAATGGGTCAGTTATTCTTTTTGTGGAAAATTTACCTGGAAAATGGATGTATTTTCCCAGTAATATAAACAGGGAAGTGAGATAGTGGGACTAAGCCCTGGTGTTTACAGTAAAAATATTAAAATGCCTAACTAACACAAATTAAAAATATTGTATCACTTTGTGAAATTTACAACAAAACTGGAGCCAAACAGTCTGGAGAAAATTCCAGAGTCTTTCCAATAGTCCAACGTTTCACATTTTAATGTCTTTCCTGGTACAGAATGATTGACAGACYTCTTGTCCCGCCCCCTCGGTTTGCTGCTCATTGAAGCTATTTTATTCAGCCCAGGGTCACACCAAGGTCACAGGCTTTAGCCAATGAGAGTGGACGTACWAAAACATGCCTTGAGCGTGAGTAAAAAACTGGAAGAGAAGAGGTTTGGGGTGGACAGACCAAAGATTATTCAAGTTTTCCTGGTTTTAGTATAATGACTGACTAACAGCAAGCATAGCTAACAAATCTCTTTTCTGCTGAAATGATAGTTGAAACTAGTGCTGGGCAGTATACCGTTTTGTACCYAAAACAGATTTTTATTTTTGTTARGATATGACTTTTCTGAATACCGGTGTAAATAGCCTGAATACGTGCGGAACGTTTCGTCGCGGCCGCCAGTGAACTGTTTCCCTGGGGACATGTTTCCTCGCAGCACCGCTAAGCGCATTAGCATGCTAACGTTATTGTTGGAACAACTGGCGGCGGGTGGTGTGTTTCAGCCGCTTATATGGTCTGACGTAAAAAAAAAACATCCTGTTTTCACCATCGCTGAATAGTAAACTAATAAACAATTCTTCAGTGACGTGCATGGTTAGATTTAACGCGCTACGTTATAACGGAGACGTTATTGCATGGAGACTCTAGCATGCTTCTATTGTGAAAAGCCCGGGGGTGGGAAGTAGTTTTGCAGTGTAGCGGAGTTGACTGGTGTGCAAAGTGAGTCGTCCTTTTAAGTTTTATTAACACTTAACGATAGACCAGATAATGATTTTTTTCTCAACCCTTCATGATCGAACCTAAATGCATGATTACTGTCTACAACCAGGCAAAGAAGAAAAGACGTACAAGAGGAGGGAAACAGTGATACAGAGGTACAGTAAAAGAAAAAAGTCAATAAGCAAAATTTGTTTACATTTTAATATCAGCTGAGCTGTGGGGAAAAAACCGTCAAATACCGTGAAACCGGTGTAATTGTTGAAAATAACGTGATATAAAATTTGGGTCATACCGCCCAGCTCTAGTTGAAACTTAGTTCAGGTGAATCAAGTATTGGACAACTGTCAGAGACTTTGTGTAAGCTTGGTTTTTGGTGGTAGCTCATTTTACGGTTGTCTTTGCGCTAAAAAAGGGCATAAAGTCAAAATTTATAGCAGGTTTTCTTTATGTCAAATTTAATCTGTTTTACCATCTGGATCTGTTGTCAGAATTCAATCTTTACTGTTTTATTATACATTTATACATTAAATATCTGTTAGCCCACCCTACAAATGTCACCACCAGCTGCCACTGAATATAGGTTTATTTATTCTTATAAATTTTCATTCTACTCATCTTAGGTTGTTTATTTTAGCAGCACAGTCCAGGAGATGTAACAGTTTGGAAACCCTGTAATTTCAATGTAAGCGTGTGTGTTTTAATACAAGGTTTACTAGCGATAAGTCAGAAAAGTCTTTTCTCACCAAACAAGTGTGGTAACTCTCGTTTCACCAGCGTCGAATGCAGCATTACACATGAGAATCTGCAGTATGAAGAAAGTCTCAGAAGTCCTCCATGTCGGTGTAAACKTCACACTAACACTGGTGTTCCAGCAGTTTTCAGATCCTAAACAATCCGCTTTCATCTGGGTGACAGGTAAGTACTGTTTAACCGGATTAGTTTTGTGRAAAGAGAAGCTACCAACCACAGCCGATCATAATCACTAACAAAAGATTAATATGCCTAGGGTTTGTCAAGATTTAGATATTTCATCATCACATATTTAAAAATAGGTGATTGTATGCACAGTATAAAGTTGTATTTGTGTAACCAGTTCACCTTGGAAATAGTCTAAATAAGTTAATAAAAGCCTGATTACTCATGACCACTTCATACCATAAGTGGATGTAAACGTCTGACTTGAGCTGTATATATTTAAAAAGTGATCTATAATTCACACAGCAAACAATTTCCCCAAAAGAAAAAAAGAAAAACCCAGCAGCACATAGTTCTGATAAGCATCTAGACCCGTCCTCTTGGCGACAGACACAGTGTGTGTGCAGACATGCCAGCTGCACTCGGTCCATCTCACTACCTTTAGTCATGCTTTTGATCTTCCCCAGAGGAGACGGAACTGAAACGTAGGACCCATCTGCAGGAAACATTTGAAAGGTTTCAGTAGGAGATGAGTCAGAAGTTTTATTAAAGCTGGTCYTGTCTCGGGGTGCTGACTCACCCCCTCCTGGCTGGGAGTACTCGTTGCACGGAGAATCATCTGGACGCTTGTAGTGTTTCAACAAAGTGACGATGGCGTCGTGACCTGAGAAACACACGGTGAGATCTGGGCCCAGATTTATCAAACCTCTTAATGTGGAATTTTAGTCTTCGGTGTTGAGAATTTCTGAAATTCACTCCTACTTTCAGGCTTAAGTGTAAACGCAAGTTATTAAAATTAAGAATAATCTGCCACTGTCTGAGACCATCACTCTGTCCTATRCTTCACTGTCCTGTAGTGGGCTGGATTAGGATCAATCATAGTGAACTGCGTGCAGGTTGGCWGAAATATGTGGAATTTAGAACCAAACACATGTCAGTGGTGCAATGTCTGACTTCACTGCACCACCACGCTTTTCACCAAAARGTTTTTGTGCTTGAAAGCAAGTGAGATCAACTTATTATCTGTGTTCTAAACCATCTGTTGCTGATTAGGTCAAGAGGGTCAGAGATGGAGCTTCCCGAGCCAAAAAAGGTTAGTTTGTATTGAAAGAGACAGCCTCAAAACGAGCTGATCTGAGACCCACGTCAGAAAATGGGTGAAAGAGGGGCTTGTGGAGTTACAATAAGGAGGCATTCAGACCAAAGCATTGCAGTTCCACTTTAAAAAGGCCCCAACTGAACGATTTAAATGTGAAAAAGAAGGATTTAAAAGCATGATATGTCTCTTTAAAGTGAGACTCTGATGCCTGATAACTGACTTTTAAGCCCAACATTAAAGGGCCAAAATTATGTTTCTCAGGCATACATTTAAATACTATACCATAATAAAGTATCTAGG